TGGAATTGCTTTCAGCTTTTCACCATTGAGAATGATACTGGCTGTTGGCTTGTCATAGATGGCCTTTATGATGTTGAGGTATGTTCCTTGTATCCCTAGAATTTCAAGGGCTTTTATCATGAATGGGTGTTGCACTTTGTCGAAAGCTTTCTCAGCATCTATTGATATTATCATATGGTTTTTATATTTCTTTTTGTTGATGTGTTGGATAACGTTGATTGATTTTCGGATGTTAAACCATCCTTGTGCCCCTGGAATGAATCCAACTTGGTCGTGGTGAATTATCTTATGGATACATTGTTGGATTCTGATAGCTAAAATTTTATTGAGGATTTTGCATCAGTGTTCATTAGGGAGATTGGCCTGTAGTTTTCCTTTTTTGTGTTGTCCTTGTTCGGTTTTGGTATTAGTGTAATGTTGGCTTCATAAAACGTGTTTGGTATTGTCCCTTCCTTCTCAATTTTTGGAAGAGTTTGTGAAGGATAGGCACTAATTCGTCTCTGAATGTTTGGTAGAATTCATTTGTAAATCCATCAGGTCCTGGGCTTTTGTTTTTGGGGAGGTTTTTGATTACCATTTCAATTTCGCTAATTGTAATTGGTCTGTTTAGGTGTTCTATTTCTTCTTTATCTAGCTTTGGGTGATTGTAGAGTTGTAGGAATTTGTCCATCTCCTCTAGATTGTTAAACTTGTTTCCATATAACTGTTCATAGTAGTTACTGATTATTCTTTTGATTTCTGCTGTGTCCGTTGTGATTTCTCCTCTTTCATTGATGATCCTGTTTATTTGTGCTTTCTCCCTTTTTTCCTTTGTGAGCCTGGCTAGGGGTTTGTCTATTTTATTGATTTTTTCAAAAAACCAGCTCTTGGTTTCATTGATCTTTTGGATTGTTTTTTTAGTTTCAATTTCATTTATTTCTGCTTTGGTTTTTATTATTTCTTTTCTTCTACTGGTTTTGGGTTTTTTTGTTGTTCTTTTTCTAGATCTTTGAGCTTCGAGATGAGGTTGTTTCTTTGCGTTCTTTCTTGTTTCTTGATGTGAGCTTCTATTGCTAAATATTTTCCTCTTATTACTGCTTTTGCTGCATCCCATACATTTAGGATATTAGTGTCCTCCTTGTCGTTCAATTCAAAAAATTTTTTAATTTCTTCTTTGATCTCCTCATTAGTCCAATGGTCTTCCAGTAGTGTGGTTTTTAATCTCCATGAGGTAGGAAAGTTCCTTGCCTTCTTTTATGGTTTATTTCTAGTTTGATGCCTTCATGGTCAGAAAAGATGGTTGATATGATTTCAATCTTGGTGTATCTGTTGATGTTTGTCTTGTGCCCCAGTATGTGATCGATCCTGGAGAATGATCCGTGTGCGCTTGAGAAAAATGTGTACTCCGTTTTTTTGGGGTTTAGTGTTCTATAGATGTCTGTTAAGCCCAATTGCTCTAGGTCCTTATTTAGAGCTTTGGTTTCTTTACTTATTTTTTGTCTTGTTGATCTATCCATTGTTGATAGTGGTGTGTTGAAGTCTCCCACTACGTATGTGTTTTCTCTGATGTCTGTTTTCAGAGAGGACAACAGTTGTCTGATATATTTTGGTGCTCCTTCGTTTGGTGAGTATATGTTAATGAGTGTTATTTCTTCTTGAAGTATTGTCCCCTTGATCATAATGTAGTGACCATTGGGGTCTCTTTTTATCTTTTTGAGTTTGAAATCTGTTTTATCTGATATAAGTATAGCTGTTCCTGCTTTCTTTTTTGGTCCATTTGCTTGTAGGATTGTTTTCCATCCTTTAACTTTGAGCCTATTTTTATCTTTTGTAGCTAAATGTGTTTCCTGGAGACAGCAAAAGGTTGGGTTTTGTTTCTTAATCCAGGCTGCCACTCTGTGTCTTTTTATTGAAGAGTTTAGTCCATTTACATTTAGAGTTAATATTGATATGTTAACATCTGTATTTGCCATTGTGTTTGTCTTTCCTTCGATTTTATTTATTTATTCTTTTAATAACTTTTTTTTTTTTGGCCTTCTTTCATTGTTATTCGTCCCTCTGAGGTTCTGGCTTTAGGACTCCTTGTAGTATTTTTTGGAGTGGGGGTTTAGTTGCAATGAAATTCCGGAGTTTCTGTTTGTCTGGGAAGGTCCATATTCTTTCTTCAAAGAGGAAGGAGAGCTTTGCGGGATAGAGTATTCTTGGTTGGCATCTGTTTTCTTGGAGTCTGTTGACTATGTCCTCCACTCTCTCCTTGCCCGTAGTGTTTCTTCGGAGAAGTCTGATGTCAGCCTGATTGGTTTTCCTTTGAATGTTATCTGTTTCTTCCCTCTTGCCAGCTTCATTATTTTTTCCTTGTCCTGGATTCTTGGGAGCTTTACTATTATGTGTCTTGCTGTATTTTTCCTTTCGTTGTGGAAGTTTGGTGTTCTTCTTGCTTCTTGTATATCAATTTTCAGCTCCTTCTTCACATTTGGGAAGTTCTCTTCAATTATCTCTTTGAATATTTTCTCTGTTCCTACATCTCTCTCCTCTCCTTCTGGTATTCCTATAACTCTTATATTTCCTTTCCTCATGGAGTCAGATAGTTCCCGAAGTCTTTCTTCGTTCTTTTTCCTTCGTACTTCTCTTTCCTTTTCTGTTTTGGTTCTTTTTATTTCTGTGTCTTCAAGATTACTTATTCGTTCTTCCATTTCATCTATTCTGCTTTCATTGCTTTTCCCAGAATTCTTTAGTTCTTCCATTAATTCTTTGATCTCCTGCATTTCTTTTACTTCCCTCTTTAGGGACTCAATTTCTTTCTTCTGACCATTGTTTTCCCTCTCTAGGGACTCAATTGCATTCTTCTGATCGTTGATTATTTTTCCCTTATCATTGTTTTCCTTTATGACTTCTGTCAGTTTTTTAATCACGGCAATTTTAAATTCTCTTTCTGGAAGGCTTAGAAATTCTTCCAAGTTATTGTCTTTGCAATCTGGGGGCTGGCTTTCTTTTTGTGGTGTGCTTTTTCTCTGGAGAGTTGCTAGGTTGCGTGTGGTTCTCCTCCTCCCTACTGTCTGTTTTCTAATTTGCCGTATGCGTTGGGACACTGTGTTGTTGGGACTGGCCGGCATCTTGGGTGGGCTTCTCTGTTCCCCTCTGGTTCTTCCAGGAGTCATCTGTCAGTTTCAAGCAGCCTTTAATGGAGAAAGGTCCCTGTTCTAAAATGCCGATGTGGGGACACACTCCCCTGTGCGCCTGGTCTGCCCCGGTGGTGGGTTCCTGCTCCCTTCTGGGCTTGGACTGCAGGCCAGAGGGGGTCTCTGGCGTGGGCGAACTTCCCCCGCTCACCTCTGGCTCCTGAGGAAGCCTTCTGCAGGTAGTCTTTACTGAAGAAATGTCCCTGTTCTAAAATGGTGATGTGGGACACACTCCCTGCGCGTCTGGTCTCAGGCACACTCTTCTGCGCGCCTGGTCTGCCCCGGCTGTGGGTGCTCGCTCTCCCTGTGGGCTCAGACTACTTGTTCGGAAGGAGCCAGGTGTGGGCTAACTCCCCAGCTGGCCACTAGCTCCTTCAGTAGCCTGTGCTGGGGTCAAGTCGCTAGGTGGCGCCAGAGATCTCTCCTAGAGCCCTTGGGGAGCTGATTTTCCACCCCGTGGGACAGGGAGCAGAGCGGGGATGGTAGGGTACACCTCAACGGCTTTGGGGTGCTGTGTCTGCCTTGTGGCCCACCGTCGTGGGGAACCCACGCCCCTAATTTCGTGCCCCGGGTCTCAGTTCCAAAGCCCTCAGTTCCAGGACGCGGGCTGTAGCCCAGATCAGTGGCGCGGGAATGGCGCCTTTTGAATCCCGCTCCCCTGCCTGGGCGCCTTGTTCCTGCTCACTCAGGGAGGGCCTCCGCCGTCTCCCCGCAAGCCTAGGTCGCAGGCGCGGGGACCTGGGCAGCTGCAATCCGCGCCACTTTCCGCGCAGGCTTACTGGGCGGCCGGGGCTGTGTGCTGGTGCTGGTCTCCTCCTGGGGGGCGGGGCTCTCTTTAATGGCGCCTGGAGCTCACCTCCGCGGCGGATCCTGCAGGGTTCGCCTCAGCTCCTGTTCACGGGGTGTGGTGGCTGCAATAGTTCCTTTCCACTCACAGTCCCGCTTGCTGTGTCCGTTTTTCTTGTTGGCCGTTTTGGTTTGTTGTTTCCCTCCTCTCTGCTGGTCGGAGAGTGCCGACTTTGTGGGCGGGGGAGGGGAGCAGGGTTCTGCGCTTCCCTCCCTTCTCGTCCTCTTTTATGGCCACTTTCTTCTTCGGGCAGTTTGCTGGAGTCGTCCGTTTATCTTCTGTGTCCCAGTTCTCACTGGGACCTGCCGCTTTTCCTCCCTATTAACTTTTTTTAATGGGAGATCTTACTCGCAGCGTCTCCTCGCGCCATGTTGCTAGAGTTGTTGTTTATTACCAGCAATTCCCCCACTGTATTTTTTTCTGCTTCTACTACACTGCCCCATTACATTCTGAGCTGACCTGTTTCAGGCTACCAGTCTTCTCTGTCAGACTTCAAATATAGGCTGCTCCCTCATGGCTCTCCATGACTTCATAAGATCTGACTATTGGCATCTGTCATTTACTTGTTCTTTTGGTCCCTCCAACTGTGGAATCTGCCTAGCCCCACTAGCCACTTTCAAATAGGACTTCACAGAAATAGCACCAGTGAAAAACAGAAAATATGTATCGAATGTTTGAAACATCAAATGGATTTTCATTTTCTCTTCATTCTTTTAAATGTGATATGTATTTAAATTAAGAGAACAAAGACAAAAATGATTTGGGAAAATGAAGTTATCTTAGTTTATTTCAGTGGCACTCTAACATGATTAAGAAAATTGTCAGATTTGATCAGCATTTTTGAAGTGAATAGCCATCATTCCTGGAGAGGCTAGACTCAAATTTTCAACTAGTCAGAGAGGTTTAAATCACTGAAGAATCCATTAACCATGAGAAACAACTAAATCTCAATATATTGCTGACCTCCAATGTTGCTTCTTTTTTCTGTTTTTCAGGTACAACGTGTCTGATTGCTCTCCTCTCAGATAAAGACCTCACTGTGGCCAATGTGGGTGATTCTCGTGGGGTCCTATGTGACAAGGATGGAAATGCCATTCCTTTGTCTCATGACCACAAGCCTTACCAACTGAAGGAAAGAAAGAGAATAAAGAGAGCTGGTGAGCCTGCGAATGTCTCTGAGGATTGTCAAGCCATTTGGTTCAGTGAACACGGTGGCTTGTTTGGGTAGTTCTTGGGCAGTAAGATGTTCACATACCCTATTGAATTACAGAGGTTACTGCTGAGGCAACTGAGACTTTATCAGTTCCTATCAAATAAATGACCACTGAATTTGCCTTTCCTTGTGGCTAAAGATTACAAAAGGACCGGAAAATAACCCTTTTCTATAAAGTGTAAAGGCTAGTAAGATCTTTGAAACCCTGCATTCTGCCTCATTTTCTCTCTTTTCTTACTTTGTTTCCCTCCAGCCACACTAAACTACTAACTATTCTCCAGAAGACATTTTCTTGTTTCTAATACCTCTGTGCCTTTGCTGGTGCTGTCTCTACTGCCTTGTGGAGAACAGTTACTTGTCTTTAAGCCAGAAAGAAAAAGAAAAATACCGGATGGTCTCACTCATAGCAGGAATCTAGAAAACTTAAATAAGGGACCAGGAAAATGAATAACTGTAAGAAAGTGAAAATCAAAATCAACAAACAACTATGAACCAGAGACACTCTATGGGTGGTGGGGTGCGGGGAGGGGAGGGATTGGGGTCAAAATAAGGGGATTGCAATTGTATGGGGAATATAAAAATAAAATTTATTAAAAAGAAAAAAAAGACTCAGTTTGAGGGCGTCCTTCTGGAAGCCTTTTCTGTCACACTCTGATGACACCCATCCCCCTCTCACTCTTCTTCCCCTTCCCATCCTTCTCTCCCCTCTTGAACTTTCATTGATGTAGCAACTCTTCACTTTGCTGACAAGGAAGAGTTCTACAGTTTGTTAAAAAGCAAAGCTTAAAACTATTTCACTGAACTAAAAAATATCCAAACACTTCGCATGCCAGCCCCCTTTCCCACTACTAAGAATGGCAACAGAATGCTGTGTCACTAGTGCCTCCCTGGTGGCACAGGGGGTAAATTCAGCACTATCAAGCTATCTGCAGCCACTGCAGCTCAAGTTCGATCTCTGCCCACAGAGCTAACCCACATGGCACAGCAGACCTCTCCTGTCTCTCCTGCTGCTCCCTCAAGTGCATTTCAGTCAGTCCACCTGTTCTGCTCCCCACTCTGTGTATTTCATTTCTGCTCCCCACTCTGTCTGGTCTCACCTCCTGCACATCTGGCCTGTACCACAGTTCTTGTATGCATAAATAAATAAATCTTTAAAAAAAAAAAAGAATGCTATGTCACTATATATAAAAATCAAAACAATCAAAGCTAAATGGGTCCCCACTGCAGTATTCACAGGTTAACAAGGGGGTTGTAATTTTAAGTAGGGTGGTCAGCAGGCCTCACTGAGGTGACACTAGGACAAAAACTCGAAGGAAGTTTATCAGTTGATTTATTACATTTTCTTAGTTCAATTTGGGAGGATTCTTTTCTATCTGTGGAAAGGGAATTTCTTTCCCTCCAAAGACGGACAACTTTAGTCTGCGGACTTTGTATGATATATGAAGCAGCAGGAGCTTATGCATTCTGGGTGTCTGAGCAGGGTAGGTGTCTGGAGGTCTGCATACTGACACTTTTTTTTTAATTTATAATTTTATTGCATTATGTTTAAAGAATATAATCACATCACATATTTTTGGCTATTTTGATCCTTTTATTGACAATTTTATTTTTTTTTTATTTTTAGAATTTTTTTTTAAATAAATTTTATTTTTATATTCCCCATACAATTGCAATCCCCTTATTTTGACCCCAATCCCTCCCCTCCCCGCACCCCACCACCCATAGAGTGTCTCTGGTTCATAGTTGTTTGTTGATTTTGATTTTCACTTTCTTGTAGTTATTCATTTTCCTGGTCCCTTATTTAGGTTTTCTAGATTCCTGCTATGAGTGAGACCATCCAGTATTTTTCTTTTTCTTTCTGGCTTATTTCGCTGAGTATGATCCCTTCCAGTGCCATCCTCTTAAACTCTACAAGTCTGCTTCTTCCCAGAACCTAGCCAACATTTAAGTTTTCACATCAGGAAGCTCAGCTGAAAAAAAGTATTGAATTTTATTACAGTGACTGCTTGAGGTGCAAAATAATTTTTTTTTTTTTAATAGAGGCATGCTTTATTTATTTATTTATTTGTTTGTTTGTTTTGTTTATACATGCACTGGGTACAGTCAGAAGCGCGGGAGGGTGAGAGAATTCACCAGAGCCAGAGCGGGGAGCAGAGCAGGCAGAAGGGCCGAAGTACACTGCTGAGGGGAGCAGCGGGCGGCAGGAGAGGTCTGCGCGCCATGTGGGACCCTCCTCCAGTGGCCGGGGAGCAGCCGGGGATCGAACCGGCGCCACAGAGGCTGCGGGCAGCTTCGCAACCCAGTGCTCAACCGCTGCGCCACCGGGGAGGCCCGCAAAATAATTTTTTTAAAGATTATTTATGCATACAAAAATTGGGGTACAGGCCAGAAATGTGGGGGGTGAGAGGGTTCACCAGAGACAGAGTTGGGTACAGAACAGGTGGATTGACTGAAATACACTGCTGAGGGGAGCAGCGGGTCAGTCAGAAGAGGTCTGCTGTGCCATGTGGGTATCTCCCTGGCCGGGGATCGAACTTGGGCTGCAGTGGCTGTGGACAGCTTCATAGGTTGTGACTTAACCCCTTGCACCACCATGGAGGCCCGCAAAATAATTTTTAATGAAAACTTTGGTTAGGTTTCCTATTGATAGGATAGAATGGTATTTTAGTAGCATACAGGCAGTATGAGTAAAATACCCTACCTTCTTATGAAGATACTATTTCCCCAGGAGTGCAGTGTGGCCCTGGGCTGGACATGCAATTAGCTCACTCTCTTGTAATCATGGGTGAGGCTGTGTATACAAACACCTGGATGTATCACCCTGACATCCAGCCCTCTCTTCTACAATGTCACTCCCACCTTATCCCCCTTCTTCTGCCCTACCATACCCACCACCCACACTCCCACCCTGCAGTGATTATTTATAAAAGCAAAGATGAGAACTGTCTCCAATGAGGTTAACCTAACCTGCTCATTAAGGGTGTATTATTAGCAAGGCCTAAGGGACAGTGAGTGGTTTTATTAATTCATGTGTATTTTTTCTGACCTTAGCTTTCCTTTCAAGACATCTTTCCCTGCTCCTGCTTAGCATGACTGCAACCAGTCTGGCCCAGTGCATGTTGTCACATTCATTCTGTTTCCAACAAAAAAACAATACTAGCTGTCACTGATTCAGTGTTCACTTAGTGCTGGAACCAAGCTTATTGTTTTACATATGCTTTCTCTTTACTTGCCCAATGTCAATATGGTATACTCATTTTACAACCAAGGAAGTAGATCCTGAAAGAGGCCGTGTGCCCAAGGCCACACAGCCAATAAATGCTCCAGCCAGAATTGCCCAAGACTGTCTGACTCCAGAGCCCATGCTGTTGCTCACTGATCACACTTCCTGGAATGCCCATATGCATGACTTTCCAGAGAAGTCCTGCCCATGTTCAAAGCCCAGCTTTAATACTTAATTCTCCCTAAAGATTACAAGCGGAAATCATTCCTCTTTCCTCCATCTGCCCACATCATTTAGCAGGTGCCAGCTTCTCCCTGCAAGAATACTGTTTTGTCCTTATAGTTCTTAATACACCTGTGGCTTATCCATCCTGTGAAACTCTACTTCTTTAAAGAAATGTCTGGATCTTGTATAACTTTATTTTCTTCAAATTGGCTTGCTTGGAATATATATTTAATAAAGAACTGATGACTACTATGTGAATAAGTAAAGTTTTAGCTCCCATAAAAAATAAAAATAGGGCCTCCCCTGGTGGCAGAGGCAGTTGAGCCCTGTGCTGTGAAGCTGTCTGCAGCCTCTGCAGCGCCAATTCGATCCCAGCCGGCCGGCGAGGTTCCCACATGGCACGGCAGACCTCTCCTGTCACTCCCGCTGCTCCCCTCAGCAGTGTATTTCATCAGTCTGCCTGTTTTGTTCCCTACTCTGTCTCTAGTGAATCCTCTCACCCTCCTGCACATCTGGCCTGTACCCCGGTTTTTGTGTAAATGAATAAATAAATCTTTAAAAAAAATAAAATAAAATAAAAATAGAAAATATTGAGTGCATGTCACTTTTAGGCACTGTGTATGTCATTTATACGGAATACCTTCTTTATTTCCCATAACAACTAATGGAATAGATACTACTATTGTTCCCATTTTGCAGCCAAGGAAATCGAGGACCAAAGTGATCGAGTTTTTTATCCAAAGTCACAGAGAGAAGTCTAAGTAGAAGTGAGAGAGCCAGGAATAAACTCCAAGCACTCTAACCCAAGAGCTTGAGCCTTACTTGCTGTGCCCAAATACTCCATTCTTTAATCCTGATCCTCTTTGGGGAGCTGCTTTGAGATCTATACAGATACACCCAAGGAGTAACCTCAGGCTAAATGATGGTGGTTCAAGTAGTTATCCTTGATACCCTTTCACCTGCTTTTCAGCACTCTTTTACCACTCTCCTTGAACCCCCCACCCTGTTGATCACTTAGCTGCCAAGTTACTAAGTTAAAACCAGTGCCCTCACACACATAGCTCCCTCTCCCAGTATTCTTATGATATATTCTTAAAGGTCATTAGGATGGCAAGGATAAGGGGAGAGTGTCAAACTTCAAGCCATATAGCAAGAATGCTGCTCCTCTCTGGAAGTGTCAAAGTGAGGTGAGGGCTCACATCCAGACTCTGCCAGGTGTGAGATAGCAGTTGGTCAAGCTAATGAAGTCATTCTGTCTTTCCAGGTGGTTTCATCAGTTTTAATGGATCCTGGAGGGTCCAAGGAATCCTGGCCATGTCTCGGTCCCTGGGAGATTATCCACTGAAAAATCTCAACGTGGTCATCCCAGACCCAGATATCCTGACCTTTGATCTGGACAAGCTCCAGCCTGAGTTCATGATTTTGGCATCAGATGGCCTTTGGGATGCTTTCAGCAATGAAGAAGCTGTTCGATTTATCAAGGAGCGCTTGGATGAACCTCACTTTGGAGCCAAGAGCATAGTTTTACAGTCATTTTACAGAGGCTGCCCTGATAATATAACAGTCATGGTAGTGAAGTTTAGGAACAGCAACAAAACAGAAGAGCAGTGAACCCTCAGGGTCTCATCTGCTTTCAACTAAAGGACTTTCAGCATATTTGGTCTCTTAACATAGTGAGGATGTGGGAGTTACAGTTAGGATCATCCATCCCAGACATAGGATTCCCCCTCCCTAGTGGTTTTAGGCCTATATTCGGTGATCAACAGAGAGTGCTCTTGGCCATTATAGTTGAGATGCTAGAAAATGGTTTCTTCATGTTTTTCCAACTCTTTCATTCAATGTTCAATATATATAAGTACATAACTGTAGATTCACATGTATGAAGTGAATGGCATATGTGCCATATATTCTTTCTTTAAGATTCTTTTCAAGATCCCTAAGAGGGCCCTCCTGTCATCAGATTGTATGTCCTGTCTTTGGAGCAGTGAGCGGGGCAGGTTTCCCAGGGGCTGCAGGAGATAGACCTTATGAGTCAGGGCCCATGTGGCAAAGCCCTTTGCCAAGAGAAGAGCTGTCCTGAAATTTTGTACTCCTGAACTCAGGTTTTCTGCTAAGTAGCAGCCCAGAAACAGATTTGGAATGGTTTCTTACTCAGTGGTGACTCTTGGAGACTGAGGGAATCAGGGAACACAGCAGAAATAAACTTTACCCTCATACCTTTTGTTACCTGTACCACCTGACCAGTCCTGGTACATTTATCCTAATTGTGCTTGACCTTAACTTTTGCTTACATCTTATCTTATATAATTGGTAGTTGTTAAACTTTACCACCAGATAACCATGGTGCCATGGTTTCTTGCTTTAATATTACTGAGAAATCAATTAGGGTAAATGAAAAAGGCAAACTACAATGCCATAACTCCTTCCATCTTTAAGGATAGATAGAGAAAAATGATGGCTGAATAAGTCATAGTGTCCTTAAGGAAGTCTGCCAGTTGCATTGGGAGAGAAAGCTAGTGAGTTTTCCAGCTGTACTGAGCTCTAGCTGCCAGTTTAGTGCAGTTTTGTTTTGGGGTTTTTTCCCTCTCTTCTATCCTAGTAGCTTTCAAGTACCTTTCAAGTAGTGTTGTAAGAAGCAGCAGTCTGAAAACTAACGTGTGTTCCTTGAAGCCTTGTACAGAGTTCTCAGTCAGAGTTTGGAATTCGGTGATAAACTGCTAGAATGTGTGTGCCCAGCGGCCATTAACATGTGATAGCAAATCATCATCCATATTGGTAACTTTCTCCAGGCAAAAGCACAGTGTCCCCGAGATAGCCCAGCTTTCCATCAACAAAGTTGGTTGGGGATTCAAGTTCCAAACTTTACTGTTAAGCAATAACCCAGAATTATTTGGGGTCAGGCTTGCTGTTCTGCATTTCCTATCCCAAAATCTCATTTCCAATCTCAGTATTTCCAGTCTCAATTTACAGAAAATGCTGAGTTATCCTGTTTGTCTGAGTGAAGTAAATCAAACAGCCTACCAAGATTTTCATTGTATCCCCACTCCTCTGTATCTGAAATGCCAGGGTGTCCACCTGCTTTTGTTCTGAGAGGGCACTTGTCATTATATCCTTTTGAAGGGCGCATTCACTGGCCACCTCTCCCTACACTGTCCCTGTCCTGCTCTTCCTCAGCTGTGGTGATTCACCAAAACAGCTGCTAAGAAAGAACTTGGGAGGATAGAAAGATTATTTTATAGTTGCCAGGGATGGCAATCTGACTCCATCCTTTAAGCACTTAGCTTTCTTTGACTGCAATGAGAAGTACTAATGGTTTCCCAAGGGATTTGCTTACGTTTTAAAGGTAACAGCATTTTCAACATTAGAATTAGAACCTTTGTGTTTTTGTTTTTGTTTTTGCCATAGACTGTTCTGGTCCCAAATATCTGCCACCATTTTAGATCAAAGTAGACACTGAATATTTTAATGTGCCTATTTGGGATGGATGTCAGAGGGAATTTGGGAAACATTCTGTTTGTGGTCAGTGAGGGAGGCTCAGGACGGGTGGCCTGAGTGCTTGGAGATTTAGGACAATCTGACTGCAAAGTTGTTAAAGCCCACCATCTAGCTGAAGTTCAGTTGAACTATTTTATGGTACACAGTCAATTTTTCTTTGTTATTTTTAGCTTAACCCTAAAATTGATAATAACAAGGGAAATATATTTTAAAATCCCTGATCATTGTTATTGTCTAAATGGTACTGTTTTGTTGAGATGAAAAAAGAAGTTATTAGATTAGTAAATTAGAGTACATTTACCTTGCAGATATCTTAGTAGATGGCGCTGAGTGCAGGGGTGCATGACTTTTCCTCTATTTGAGGTTGCAAAGAATCTTCTAAATTTTACTTTGTAGAATTAATTTCTGACTTTAAATAAGTAGTCTATTTCCAACCCCTTTCTTCCATTTTTCCTCCTGCTTTGGCTTGTAGATTTTTTTAAAAAAAACAGACATTCTAAGCAAAATAGTTATACTTTGATTAATAATCATGTCTAAAATCAGAGTACCTTGTGCCCTTCCCTTGTCCTCCTGGAATTCTCTCTCCCTGACTCTTCCAGCTGTAGGGGTCCACAGATATCACCCACAGTGTTTCCTGTGGCTCACCAGCTGCTCCTTCAGTCTAGGGACAGGGAAGATTGAATCTAGTTGTTGGGGAAGTTGATTTGAGAATTCCGTGTGGGAAGCTTCCCTGAACAGTGCTACCAAAGCGCTGGAATTGTTACCAAGGCTGTCCAGATGCCTGAGCCTGAGTTCATATTGCCAATAGCCACCATGGTGCCAAATCTGGGGATGGTTTTAGGTATAAATCTGGGATGAACAGCCATGTGTGCTTATGAGCCCCCCAGCAAGATGCCAAGCCCAGGTCCTCGCATATGCACTGTTTGCTGATTCAGTGGCAATTTGTAATCTTAAAATGCAAGGGGTTAGGAGGGTGGGAGGGAGTAGGCAGGGAACTGTTTTTAATTTATTGTATTTGTAGTTTTCTAATCAAAGGAATAAACAGTACTTACATAGAAAAATCCAAAACTACTTCCCAAGACCTGAATTTATTTTATGTGGCCATCTTTACCAAGGCACTACATGCTGAAGTCACTGTCATAATACAAAATGGCTGTACACTTATGTGCATATTACTGTAACCAGTTGCTACATTATATCCTTGCTGTGGACTGAAGGTATTGGTTTCTTGAATCTTGAATATGTAATAAGAGTATTACAAAAAATGTTATAAAATACTATAAAGTATGAAGGTGCATACACAAGCTCGCTAATTTTTACAAGTCCTTATTTCATACAATTGTTGTGATTTCAACCCACATATATTTTAACCAAACAGAATTACATGAGAATGATGGCATCATCATAACCATATTAGCTGAAGTGATTCTAGGAAATTAATTACTCTGTTGAATTAGATTGGAGGAGATCTGTCAACACATAAGGAATTCACAAACAGAATAATCACTTTTTTCTTTTGCCAGATATATTGTGATATTCTTGATTTTTCCCCCTAAATTGTTGCAAGCTATAACTTTCTTGCAGCAGTATCAATGCATGTTATTATACATTTGAAAGTATACTCTGTATAATGTTTTATTTTCAATTATTTCAGAATATTTTTCTCATATGACCCATTGTTAGACCTATCTTCTTTTAATATTTTCCCCAAATTGCATGTCACACCAGCATTCTTGATCCAGTGCTGCAGAAATAACATGACTGTTAGATAACATGCCTATTTAATTACATTTGGATCAAATTGTTGATATCTAGGCTTTTGAGCTAATTAGCTGAACACTGCAGGAGTAATACAATCTAATGATCCCCAAAGTGTGTTCCACAGAACAAAGTTCCAAAGATGCTCTTTCCAATAAACATATGCTACCTTGGAAGGGCCAAGAAACATATGCTACCTTGGAAAGTTAATGCATATAAGCACATGGAAGGCTCTCCATTTAAATGTCCTGATTGGGGTTTGGGAAAGGGATACACACAACATATGTAATTTCAATGATTTCAGTATTTTCCAGATTAATTTGAACACAGAAATTTTTTTGAGTAACACCTAGTAACATTCCAAGGAGCTCAGTGTTCCATGGAACTCAGAGATATTCTGGCAGAAGGAAATATTGCTGTATTCTCAGTCTCTATCACTATCACTCTTATAGTACTAGTGCAATTTGTAATTTAGAAATAGTAACCCTTTCAAGTAAGAAACTGATTTGTTAGGATGAAAAAGTGTTATGAAATAGTACTATTTAATATGCACACCAGCAGCTTCACATTGGTGGCAAAAGTCCACCAAATCTATTTAAAGCTCTACCATAATCTCCTGTCTTTCATGTAAATAAAAAACAAGAACCTTGCCACAGCTAGGCATTTCTCAGATTCATTCAAGAGCTTTTACTTGCTTTCTTGAAATTAGCTTTCCTTTCAAATTGAATCAAAATAAATAGAAAAAAAAAGTAAAAGAAAGTTGTATTTAGCCTTAATTCATTTTTTTTAATTTTACCTAGATATTTTAAAGATTAATTATCTTGTAGCATAATAGAAATGTAAACTGTGAATACCTATTTACTCTCTTTCCTCTGTCATTCTTTCCAGATTCAATGTAATAATTTGAAATCAGTCAAAGCTCAAAAATCCTGTTCCATGCTGCCCCAATTTCATTTGTGTGTAAAATTAAGTTTGGCAAGTTATCTCTTACCTAAAATGTAAGCTTCATTACAACTCCATACTCATAACTCAGCATGGGCAATGTGTTTGGGAAGTTCTGAAAGAGAAGCCCAAGATAACAAATCTAGATGAAAACATGGTACAAAGTGAATTTAGAGTAAGTTATTAAAGTTAACTTACTTAAAGTTACATCTAATAGTTAGAAATATATCCACCCTTAGCTGTTCTCTAAAATAGTGAAAAACTACAAGTAAAATCACTGAGGCTATGTGGCAGATTTCAAAGAGCAAGTGACATACTAGGAGTGGATACTAGGAGACTTCCACTAGATATGTGTATCTAAACATGTTTTCTAACATGTAATTTACTTTTGCTAATTCATAATAATGATGCTTTGTTCACTATTTTTATTTTTACCCACTGTTAGTATGAAAATTGTTAACCAAGGGTTGATTATAGTTTTTGTTTATGTAGTAATAACCGCACCATCATTTCTACAATCATTTTAATAAATCCAACTTAAGGAATTTGAAGAGAGCATCTGGTAACTGTTCATTTTAACAGTTATCATAAGCATTTCCACAATTCAAAACTCCACCAAAGAGCAAGCAACAAAGTTGTAGATTGTATTTAGGAAGGTTAGTCCAAGTATTCTAGAAATCCTATAAATTGGCATTATTTAACTATAAATTCCCTCTGACATTTACCAAATTCAAATTAATCTCAAGACTGCCAAGGACCAGTGTCCCCTGACTGAGCATGCACAGATTACTGTGAAGACTTTCATGGCAGATTATGGTGGGTAAGGGTTTTAAAGACAGGACAATCTACCTAGGTCATTTGCTGGCCCTCTCTTTAAGAAAGGGACAATGTATCAACCACCACCACACTTTCTCATCCCCTTTTGTCAGGAGGCAATTCAGAAATTAAATGTAATGTCATGTATTCTCTCAACATATTTCTATGGTAATATGCGTTCATGTAAAGCAAAGGTAGAAGTAAAAGTCAAGGAACTGGGGGTTGGAGGAATCCTTAGGATACCCATATATTAAATATGTAAAAAGTAGGTTATCAAAAATGTGGAATATCAGGCTTTTACTTAATGATGATTTCTGTCGTGTGCATGTAGGTCAGTAGAAGGCAGCTGTTTCTACTTTTCAGCTATTCAGATGCAAGGCTTCCCATGTAGAGCTAATGCTTTCCTTATGAATTAATAAAAACAGAATTTTAAAGCTTCTTTGTCATAAGACTGATGGCACGGGCACAATCACATTTAAGAAAAATTGTTTGGAACATTTTTAATTAAACAATAGTAAATTTCCAATGTATCAAAGTCATAATGTAAAGAAAAACATTTTTTAAAAAAATACAAGACAAAATCAAAGAATAATAATATAAAGGGAATATTTTAAGAAAAGGAGGTATTATAATTAATTACATCATGAATCATGCTAACTGATATCTGTGCTCTTTCTGAAGTTACAGAAATAACACTGAAGTAGGAAAATGAACATTCTAAATCATCTGTAATGTTAGAAAAATTACAGTCCCCATTCCATTATTTTCAATGAAAATGGGGACATGTCATATATTTCTGTCCTAAGCCACCTTTACTGTTCTAGGTTCTTTTCACATTCCAAATCCTAAACATGGTTTTACTCTGACCCTTAGAAGTTTTTCATTGTCAAGGAGGGAAATGCCCTTTTCAGAATGTAGAAAAATAATAAAATAGACTAAATGACAGAATGTCCATTTTAGAATGCCCAAATAAATCTGAAAACATTTGGTAATTTTCCAAATGCCAACATGAATACCAGCAAGTATTCAAATTAAAACTGACAATTTCACAGAAACAATCAGCAGGATGATTTATGAGTTCCTAGAGTCTCCTAATCCATATAACACTGAGGCATGTTTGCTCAGTTAATTTAAACATTTCTATAGAAATGATGTTTTAGACATCTGTAACCCAAGAGAATGATGTCTTGTGCAAAGTTTAAATTTCCACCATCTTAGTATGAAAATTGCTATGTGTGTGTGTGTGAGGGGGGACTAGAACCATGGGGTAGTAAGCAAGAATACTCCCATTCTCTAGTCTCTTAAGACTACATTGAACAGTCTTTATGCGTTTTTCATCTTGGTTATCCTATCTCAGGTATATATGTTCAGAAAATGAAATAATAAAATACAAAAATGGAAAAAGCCTACAACTATTCTAGAAAAGTGTCCTTTTATCTGAAATATTTTCACACTGAAGCATAAAAATCTACAACATTATCTTTAGTTTACTCTTCAACTACCAAAGCAATGGTTTTGATTTACAGTATTGTGTTGCAATTTCAATTTGGGAAAATCTATTTTCAATATCTCAACATTACCATGGTCTGTCAAAAAAAAAAAGAAAAACATAAACAAAAGAAATTTGAATGAGTTCAGAAGACTGATTATTCTTGATAGGTTTGGAAAATAGTAATGAAACAGTTAATTCTAAATTACTCTAATGTGAGCTACATTCACATACATAATTCCTATATGCCAAATGTGCAAAGTGCTTATATAAATATATATATATTTAGACATACACATATATATAAACACATTTATAACAGCTTGATATACTTTATGAACATATTTAACTGGGAAAGTCACTATTTTGCTCTAAGTAAATCTTCCTATATATTTTAGTCTTCCCTTTATTATTTTATTTTTCCTGAGCATCTACCATGTGCCAAAGAGAGATAGTCAAGTGTTTCTAGTGGTGACCATGCCTGCCTTCTTGACACTTACAGTCCAGTGGTTACTTCATAGATAAAAAGCTCAATGTTGTTTAAATGGGGAATAAATGATATCTTTCATGATTTCTTCCAATGGACTTAGATTTGTGAGGACAAGGCAAAATTAGAGTAATTCTATTATATGTACATAATAGTGAATGTGCAATGATGGAGAATAGCTTACCCAAACCCAAGCAAATTGTATCTGACAATTACTCCATGTTAGACCACCTAGTTTCCCAAGGATCTAAAGGGGAGGTAAAACAGGGAATTTAGGGAGACTGAGGCAGTCATAGGGCTATCTCACTGGGAGTGCTATCTCACTAGATCATTGGAAGTCTTCACTCAAGTGGGTCAGAAGCTATGCAAGGGCTCAGCAGTAATACAGTCAAGACCCGGGCATTTCCATTTGGGATCATTCTAGAGGAAGGAGAGAATTACATAAAAAGGAGAACAGAGAACAATAAGATTATTTCTCCATTGTTATTTTTATTTTATTCCCAAGAGGCTATAATGTAACAAACTCATGCCCCAATAGAGAGCCCAGAACTGAGAGTGTTCATCATCAGTACATATTCAGTGTAGAGAAATTGACATATTCCAGAGATAAATTCATTTCTTGATTTTTAACATGAACAGAAGACTGCCAGATTTTTAAAATCATATATTTGGTATCCATTGTTATGTAAGAAATTCCAGATTCTAGGCATGGAATTTCAGTTTTATATTTTGAACAACAGTGGCAACATCTATTTACTGTGTGGCAAAACAAAACTAAACACAAGACTACTATTTTTACCCACAGAAGTCATCACTTTAATTCTTCGCCTCATTATCTTCTCTAGACATCTCTGTTTATGCCAGTTTTTTTTATATCAAGCTATTACCAAATTACACCACAATTCTGTTGAATTAAAATAACAGTGAATGGGAAGTAACTGGGAATATATTGTTGTGATCAGAAGTGAGTTTTTCATCTTTAATCATAAGAAAATACAAATTTAAATTAAACCAATTTCTTTTTTGGTTAGATTAAAAGTATAGGTAGAGCCCAGTTGAGAGAGAAAAAGACAAACTCACAACTCAGTAGCATTTTTCATGAATGATGTATCTCAAAAGTTTTGATCTTTTCCCTGCTGAATTTTAAAAGTGACCTGTATTAAGTTTTTACTTATACCAACTTCAACATCATGAAAAGTTTCCCATCTACACTTCCTTGCATTTCTAAAAATCCTCTAAGTCTGTTTGTTTATCAAAAAAGATACCAAGGTCTATAACTTATTAGACAATGCTTTCTTTGGGAATCTTGAAATTGTATTGAATAACAAAATAACAGGTCAAAATAAGTGTTCAAATCAGTAAGTTTTTCTGTCAGTCCCTGAAAACTTCATAATAAATACAACAAAACCTTTCAAAGCTTCATTAGTCTGGTTACTCTTTAGAGGTTTTTATACCTACCATTCTGTATTTGTCTCTGAGACATTTGAAACACAGTTACAATGTCCCTTTGGTGTAGAGCTTAGAGTATGTGTAGTCAATCAGAGTAATATGTACAATGTGGCTTTCTAGTCTCTTTGTGTGCTGTCGTATATTTAGCCTTGAAGAGACTAATGTGTTCACACAATCACTGTTGTATATAAAATGAACAACTAAACATTACCCTTGATAACAAGATTAAAACAAAATGAGACATATTAATGAGACACAAAATGAGAAACAGACTTTGCACACAGCTGCCACTTTTTCCATTGTAATGATTTGGAATTTTATAATTCTCAATGATTTTGGAAATTGAGTTAGCATTGCTGTTGAGTTGGGAATTAAAAGCAGAGAATTTAAGGGGGGAGGACAAGACCATAGCATTAACAGAAGCAAGATTTAGGTGATGTCAAGACTTCAGGAATTTTCATTAGAAAGGAAACAAGCCTGGTTCTATTTCAAAACAAGGTGACTTTTTACAATGTAAAAATATATGCAGCAAAAACTTTATTTTTAAATAACACAACTTGTATACCTTATCACCAAATTTTATATAGTATAATCAGCATTAGGTGATAGGGTCAGATAAGCTATATTATGCATATAAAGTCTAGCAAAATGGCATTACATATCTCTGAGAAAAGTGTTCAGAAGAGAATCCATTTGCAAAGGTTTTCACAAAGTACAGGCAGGAGCACTATGGAATTTGGAGACAGTGTGAACACATATAAAATTATTTTTAGGTATTCTAAAGATGACATGTTCAAACTTGCACAGCACCTCGAACCTAGAGGAAGAACAATAAAAGTTAATCACCAGGTTGCTGAATTTGGAATTGTATTTAACAAAGCAGAAAAATGTGGCCTTGGATTATTTTCCTGCTTTGCATTAAAAATAATATATGATAGCCAGAGTGTAAAATGCAGCCCACAAAATCTTGTCTTCCACTCCCTTCTCTGGGTACAGACATTTTAACATAGAAATGAAGAATGTAATTAGAAATTTCAGGATGGATATTTGTCTTCTGGATTAGAGTATTATGGATTTCACCAACATCAGCCACAGATCCACGGAAAAAGCAGTCAGGAGTCACAAACGTACCACTTCACTTAGAGTTTGAGGCTATAGTGCATCTCTCTCTCTCTCTCGCGCTCTCTCTCTCTCTCTCTCTCTCTCTCTCTCTCTCTCTTTCTCTCTCTCTTTCTTACATGCCATAATATGGGTTTTCAATGCTGTACATGTTTTGGGAGGACAGATTCACACTCCAAATATATGTTACCACATCACACCACACCCGCAACCAAAGTACCAATAACTCTCCACCACAGTCCACTGTACCACCACCATCCCACCTTCTCCCCCGGTAACCTCATTTCTGCATTTAGAAGCCAAGGGTTTGTTCTGGTTTGGTTTTGTCTTGTCCTTTGCTTTATTATATTACACATGTGAGTGAAATATTTGTCTCTTCTGACTTATCTCACTTAGCATAAGCCCCTCCAGTTCTATCCTTATTGTCACAAATGGCAATATTTAATCTTTAATCTTTTAATAGCTGATTAGTATGCCATTGTGTACATATGTTGCTACATGACAGGGAGAGGAGCACCCTAGAACCCCCAAACCTGCTTACTCTAAATAAGTTCTGCCATCCTCTGTATCAAGGCAAAACATGTAAGACCCTTAGTGGAAAGGATCTTTAACACAATTAGTGGGCAATACAGAAAAGACAAAGAATATAGTTCCCAAATCAAACACCCAAAGCTACCCATCCCCTTGTGGGTAAATTTCCAGCCAAACAGGGATGGCCCAGAGCAAGGCCCAAAAGCCTGCCACAAGTCTAAAGTGCCTTCCAGCAGGGGCCAATAGAAAAGCATCAGAAACAGCCAGACAAGTCTGGGAACAAAATCAAAATCAAGATAAAAGCTGCCATTTTTAATCTCCCCATGAGTATCTCACCCACATCTGTTTCAACCAGTCTAGAACCAAGAAGCAAGCACAGTTTCTTTACATGTCTCTCTGCTCCATGTGCTTCCTTTGGGTCTCCTACTGGCTCTTTTTTCCTTCCATCTGCAGTCTCCTCTCCACCTTCTCCTCCCTGCTCAGCTCCACCTGCCCTTAGGTGGGGCAGGGAACCTGGAACCAACCCTTTCACTGGGACCACCCTCTTGCAATATCACAACTTTTTTATCCAATCATCCATCATTAGGCATTGAGGTTGTTCCCATATTTGGCTATTGTATATAGTGCCACAATAAACATAGGGTACATACATCTTTCTGAACTTGTGTTCTTATATTCTTTAGACAGATACCAAGGAGTAGAATTGCTGCATCATATGGCAGCTCTATTTTTAATATTTGAGAACCCTTGGTACTGTTTTCCATAGAGGTTGGGCCAGTCTACATTCCCACCTAGTGTCAAGGGTTCCTTTTTTTCCATACCTTCACCAGTACCTATTGTTTCTGGTTTTTCTACTATGGGACATTTTCACAAGTATGAGATGGCATTTCATTGTGGTTTTTATTTGCTTCTCCTTAACAATAAGTGTGATAAGCATTTTTTTCATCTACCTGTTGGGCATATAAGATAAACAATCTTCTGCCCATTTTTTATTATTTTTGTTGTTGAGTGTCAAGAGTACTTTATGATGCCTCATGGAATCCAAGAGCACTAAGTATCTGAGTGGGGTTTTGGTAATAATTCACACCAAAAACACAGCAAATCTCAAGATGTCAATGGGGTTTCCCCCTCCAGCTATCACATACTAACTGATATTGACTAGGCTCTCCATTGTAAACTGTAAAACTGAACAAACTATATTAGACAGCTGTTATCAGGCACTGGACAGTAAGCAGTGCAAGGCAGAAATCCTTGAGAGAAGGCCACACATTATCCCATGATCATATTAGCTCTCTGTGCAGGGACAATTTTCTGATTGTGGCACAGAGCTGTGCTGAACTACACAGAAAATCAGAGTCTGAAGCAAATGGTGCAGCTAGAATATGCAGAGAGGTATATAGACAGTGAGGTTCAGGAAGGTATGTGTTGGCCTCTCATGAGTCCTTAGCTTGAGGGGGCTTACTGCATGTGCAGAGTGAAACACCCAAGCTGCTATGGGGCTGAAAGTGGACTAGAACTACTAGAGATTAAGTCTTGCTGGGGAATATCAAGTTCTGGCCCCAAAGAGTAGAGATAACTTATGACTATGTACACAACTACAGGAATAAGGACCATTTTTCCTCTCTGGTCACCCTGAAATAATCATTGGATTCTTAAGAAAGAATGAGAATTACCATCTCTCTTTAGAGAAGAGAAAATGCAGATATAAGTACAGGAAGAGTTTAGACAAAGGCAGGTGGTCAGGCAAGGGTTGAGATGCCTGAGAAACAACAGGCAGAATGGAGTAGGCTGTTTTGCAAGGTGTGGAGAAGACTGGGGCTCCTGGACTTCCTTTGCAGTTTGGAACCATAATGCGAATGTGATTATAATGAATGTGCTTATAACTTTGGGAACCCAAGTATAAAGCTAATCCTTCTAGTCCTTCTTGGCCAAATAGTAGAGTCTGGGATTGCCTCCATGGGGATCCTTGCTGTCTCCTGCAGTTCTAAATGAAGGAGAAGCTTATAGAGTCTCAGACCTACCTGCCCAGTCTTTAGCTAATCTGGAGAAAGGAAACCAGCCCCAGCTAAGAACTTGTTTGAATGCGGGCATTTTCTGCTTCTGTAAGATACTGCCTTTCCATGAGCCTTTGACTCCAGTTCTGATGCTTTTCCCAGAGATCACAATCTTAGCATCATTGAGAGTCCACCAAAAATCTAATGTAAATAATGAACTTTGGGTGATGATATTTTACTCTTGTAGTACAGTATAATAACTGCACTACTCTGGTGAGAAATTTTAATACTGTGGAGGCTGTGCATGTGTCATGACAGGGAATATATGAGAAATCTCTGTACTTTCCATTCAATTTTGCTGTGAACCTAAAACTGCTCAAAAAAAATGAAGTCTACCAAAAAAAAGCTAATACCAAAATTTCCCAGAATCATATCGCCTTAGTTAAAGAGGCTTAGCTTGGCTGGCTTAGCCCTAATTCTAAATTCTTTAGGGGAGAGTCCAATTGTCCAAGTAATGTCACCTGAATCCCTCACAGATTGGCTTCAGAATGCGAAGATTTTTAATTGGGGGTGGGGCAACCCTCATGGTCTGGGACACATTTTGCTAACATAGTGATTTATACTAACCACATAGATGGAGATAGTGAATAAGATAATTTTCAGAAATTTCTAGAAAACATCATTCAGCAGACAAAACAGTTATTGCCAGTTCTACCTGCTTTCAAATTTAAGGCTGAGAAATATAAAGTTTTATTTCCACATGTGAGATGTTATTTTAAAATGTACTTTATTTCTATGTTAAGGTTTACTGGAGAAGAGAGAGACAATATGCAAATTTTTAAAGGTTCATATGAAAAGAGTTTCAATAACAAAAGTGAGGTTAAGTCACTCTCATCTTCTACTCACTGAACTATGGGACAGAGCTGGTTGTCACTTGATCTTTGTACACCAAATAGCCACTGTTTATTGCTTTCCAACTATTCTGGTCCCAAAATCTTGAAACATTTCATTGATTAATGTACTTACAGCAGGCTTGAGAAAGGGAAGAATTGTGGTCAAAGCACTAGTCATTTCATTGTGAATTCACCAAAAGTCAGGTATTTTCTGGCTTCTCGTTTATGAAGAGAGCATATAGTGAACATTGTAATATCAGACTCCAAAAAATGTGTGAAAGTTGCTAAAACAAACCCTCTCTTATATTAGGCAGTAATAGTTTAACATGTGGCCCTGGCCTCTCCTCTCAGCCCAAATGGGAAACTGGTTCCACGGGGGCGTGATATACACTGTGGAACTACAGCCCACTATTTCCTGCTTCTCTCTCTCTGCTCCCAGAAGATGGAGGAGCAGACCTGGTTGCTTTCAATGTAAAGAAAAGGCAGAGTGAGGAGCAAGGGAGAAAGAAGGCATTTCCTATTTCCCCTACTCTCCACTACACCAGTGTGGACCACTCACAGGCAAGGAGCCATCCTCTAGCAGGGTTTATCCAAGATCCTAGGTCTTGCACCTGCATCTGCTGCTTTCTATTTGTCTAGAAGGAGACTAACCATGGGTACAACCCTTCCTGGACAAGGCAACTGTTATGCACCAACAGATAGGATGCCCTCAGCTAAAACAGATTGCTGCATCCACTGCAGTGATTACTTCCCATTAAAGGGTCGAGAAGTATGTGGTCCATTGTTGGTTTAGTGGCTCAAGGCTGTAATCAAAGACAAATCTCACTATCTCAGCCTACTACCTAGGTCTATATGTAGAATCAATAGAATCTCATAGAATCAATACAGTAGCTTCCAGTCCTAGCATTGTAACCAGGTATCTGAACAAAGAAGAGGAGTCGTTCTAGTCTCTTTTTTTTAATTACTACTAAGGAGCAACACCCCCAATAAGCCTACCAGCAGACATCACCTGGGGTCCCACTGTCTGGTAATGTTTCACATGTGAGGCTGGGTGGGAAGGGCTGGCACATGACAATGATCACACTATCTCACCCAGTCCCCACTGGCCTTTTCATACATTTTCTTTTTTACCTTTACTTAAATTCATTGATATATTTCAAGATTTATATTATTACAAAAGCAATTTATCCTCATTGTTGATTGAAGATAAAAAGGTACATTAAGCAGAGAAAAAAGTCAATGAGAGGCAATTCCTATTAATATTTTGATGTAGTATCATCTTGATATGCCTTCATTCTTTCATCCTTTGGTACACTTTCATCTGTAGTTTCCATATATTTGAGAAGGGAAAAGAGTAGCACTTAAAATGATCACTGCAGTTGCTACAACTTTTAAGAAAAGGTCATCATTTATCTTAAGAAAGTTACCTTCATATCTGGGAAATGTCTTAAATGGGCTACTTTAAAAAAGGGGAAAATATGTGGCACTTATCACTGTCCAACCTCCCACACATGCTGAAAGGTGGTAGAATATAGTGTTAAACTGAAAAACATTTTGGAAACTTTGTTGACAGCCTAATGCAGGGAAAAGTGTTTGCAAATATGAAAAAGGGCCAGATATGGGCCAGACCAGTTGGGAGGTTCTTAATTGGCATCTTTTGCAGTTGGGACTGAAGTTGTCTGATGGCTCAACTTCTAAATGAATTATTCACTCCATGTCTGGTGGTTCGGCTGACTTGGCAGGAGCATGGATGCTGGCTGGCTGCACATTTCTTCCTCTACACAACCTTGCCATATGGCTATCTCATCCTTCCTCTCAGTGACACAGGGTCAAAGTAGTTAAACATCTCATAGAAGCATGCATTCCAAAAAACAGAAGTGTAAGCTACATGCATCTTTTGCTCTAGACTTGGAAACCATGCATTATCTCCACTGTCACATTCAGTTGGCTGAGGGGTTTGTTCAGTTAATGTGGGCAACAGCCACAGTTTCATGAGGGGTAGGAGGAAAGGCTATCTTTGAGACTGCCACAACAAGAAATGTCAAACAAATTTCTAGAAGGGATGCCAGATATTGAATTTGAAGATCTCAAACTCGCTGGGTAGTAATTATATTTTACTGTGCTTGAACTAAGTGAAATTTTAAAATTCCCAGCAGCTTTGTGTTTGTGAGACTTTGGGAGAAAAAAAAAATTGGTTGGGATCCTTCTGAAGTATGAGAAGTAGGCCCACAGCCAAGAAAGGACAAGAGTAGAGATACGGAGAAAGGTATGGACTGATTCATGAGAATCAAAAGTCACTTCTCTATCCTGAAATCTTCAGAGTTTTGAAGTCTGGCAAAGTTGACTTCCTATCACAATATTACATGCAGATGAAAACCATTCTTTTTGGCTATTGATGGTTTCCAAAGGAACTTTCAAGAATTTAGAGATATCTGGGAATACAATTCAGACATATTATACACACAGAACACACACACTCACACACATTTGAAGCTCAAACTTCTAATTTTAAATAAATTTATGCTCATTACATCTTTCCATTAGCATCATGTTTTCAGTATTATTCTTAATGACTGTATTATATTCAAACTTATGACAACACTGAAGTTTGATCAACATTCTCATCAATACTGAAAGAAACTATCCCATACCCTCATCAAAGAAAAGGAGTTTCCAAGTGACTTTTTATGGTAGACATCTATTGCCCTTTCTTGCTTCATCCATGACTCTACACTTACAAAATTATAATTCAGCCCTAGACAAAAATAACACTCATGTCAAGCTTCTGTTTTGTATAAGCTTGACCACAGCTACTCAGTCGATTAAATTCTATCTGGCAGAAACTTTTTCTTAGCTTGGGCAAATTAATCTTAGTAAATGTATGCATTCCTCTCAGCTTTTACAATATTAAAAATTGTGCATAAACTCCATTACTGCCACAGAGAAATCCGAAAAGTGCAAGCAAGAGGATCTCTAAGATCTCTTCAGTTCTAAGCTATGATTCACCTTCTCTGGCTGGGTTGACCACACCCAGGACTCACAGAGTATCCAAGTGAAGATTTTGTGCCTCTATCACTTACCTTAACACAGGGTATTGCATCCATTCTTATTTGGGCCTTCTTTTTTTCCCTTATGAGATCTAGGAGATGGCTCTTCCCTTGAGCACAAACTGTGAAAGGACTACTCGCCACTCAAATTGCCCCTTGGCAGTCAGGCCTTGTTTCTAATGCTTCATTCCATTTCATACCAACATCCCCATCCACACATGCCCTCTATGTTGATAGGTTCCTTGAAGGTTTGGTTCCATATTAACAACATATGGCATAATCAAGGAGCTAATGGAATGGGGTGTGAAAGAGTTGCAATGAGAGTTGGTCTTCAGCTCACACAAAATCCAGAAAAGTTGCTTAATGTAATTCCCCACTGGGTTAAATGATAGTAGAACTTCAAAGATGGCAGCATAGGCCTACCACATTATTCAGTCACCCTTTTCCCCCTCAAAGATGGACCCTCCCCAATTTCTCTTTCTCTTCTGCAGTAATTGCCTATCTGACCTCTAGAGTAAAGAGATTTATCCCCCACCCCGCCCCCAGCTCATGCTCAGAAATACTGATGTTATTAAATAGATCAGCTCTGGCAGCTCTGAGTCTGGTGTGTTGATGGGAACACAATTATATCAAGACTATTTAGGGGAGAACCAAGGAACCATTAACAAGGGTGACAGGGCAGCCCTTTCAGGGATGGGCTCAAAGCATGAGCAACAAGTGAGTTAGAAAACCTCTGGCCCACTCTGGCTTGCTTCAAAATCACTTATCTCTGAGCCTCTTCTCAATTTCACACACTAGGTATGACAGATTATATTACTGTGTCCACCTATTGAGTCCCCATTCTGTAGAACAATACATTTTTGCCTCCCACAATTATGACTTGCTCCGTTTCCTGTCAGGTGAATCTCCCCCTACCTCCCCGCCAGTACCCAATGGCACCAGACTATGTATGGGACTTGTTTTGATCAGAGTATGCACATGCCACTGTGTTTCTACCAGCCCTTTTCTCCTTCCTTCAGGAAGAACTCCTTCACACTCCATTAAGGACTCTCCTTCATCCTTTTCCTATAGATGAGAAGATACATACAGCAAGGTTGTAGCCAATGTCAGCAACCAGTAATGTTGCAATATGGCTAAAACAAAGGAACAAAAACAAACAAAAAACAGTGTTATCAACTTCAGAGATGTAAGAGTGTACTAGCAGCATGATCCGGCAAAAGCTAACAGGCCAGGGTGCCAGAAATTCAATGCTTTTGGGTAAAGTAAAAGAATTAGGTGGAACACTATGTAAGGCCACAGGTATGGCAAGAAGGAATTAGCCTAAGGTTAGTACTGAATTTTATGTCAATTTTATGTCAAAATGGTCAAACATCAGAGATGAAGATTTTAGTAATAGATTTAATTTTTATTATTTCTAACAGTTAACGACCTTAAAGCTTAGACTATTGAGACATGTAGTTAAAACCAAAAATATAATCCAAACTTTGGGCTCAATGATTTTCATAATTATTTAACTTGTTAAATAAAGATCTTTCTCAATCTCCAATTGAGAAAGAGCAACCTTCTGAATTATGGCAATTACTAACATTTTGCTTTTATTCATCTTAAAGGTAAATTAAGTGTTCTCTCTAAAAAACTTTGAGTTAGATTTCCAAACATCAATATAAACCTTAGCAAAATTGATCAAATCTAATACCATAAAAATAACCATCATCGACCAGTCTTAGAGTGACTCCTATAGGAATGGGGATTAGCTAGGACATAGACTGAGTCCTTAGAATATTTCATTTAATGGATTTTATTGTAATTGGATAAAGTCTCAGGCCGGAAAAGGAGGAATTTCAGGCTTCTTAGAATCACATAACAGTTCTGAAATTAAGCTTTTCTTATAGGAGGGATCTGACAACATACTTTTAAGTGCTTATTTTCTACCAAAAGATTTGATCTTTTGCCATCATGTGATCCAGAAAAAAGGAATCACTTATCCAGTCATGATAGAAAATTGCACATTTCCAGGAATGTGAGGTCAAGGAATGCTCCTTTTTGATCTTCTAATAGTTGCAGGTCCAACAATAGATAAATCACTATTCCTACGAAGAAACTGTTTCTACATGATAACAAAATCAGATTTGATTTTGGATGACATATTAGGGTGTTCCACTTGATTAATAGCAGCATTTTCACTCTATTTTCAAACTGATTGCTAATAAGAAAATACACGAAGCAAATTATTAATGTGTCCCAAAATTTAGACTTCTTATTCAAGTACTGTCAAGTATTGATACTTTTCATAATTTCCTGTTTATCAGGCTTTTCTTTTCTTTTTTCCTTTCAGAGTCCTTTCCATACTGTCTGACATTTCTTAATTCATGGTCGGAAAATGAGACAGATGAAGTGACCTCTAAAAACATGGGGGTTATATTTTTAAAAACAAGACAACAATTCAGATCTATTTGCTTTAATTCTTTTCAAAGTCCAAAACATTACTGATATACAATAATGACCAATGACTTTACATTAATAGAGCTATCAATAATAAATTCACCAGTGAACAAGAGTAAAAAAGTTCAAATGTGAAGGGTGATTCACTATTCTGTTTATATAGTATTGAAACAACAAAGACATTCAAACACCCAGAAATTCTACGTAGTAATATTTAATAAGCAATGATAACTGTGAAATACTTCAAGATACATTTTGAATGATAAAGTACATTTTGAATGACAAAAGCAGATGAAATTTTGTTCATTACAATGTTGATTACGTTTTTTACATAGAACCATATATTTTTAAAAATCGGTAATCCATTTAAGGTATACACAAAACCCTAACTGATTACATTGTTCAATGAACAGAACCCCACATTGCTTTGTTGTTATGGAATCATGAGTTTACAACAAAAACTTTTTAAAAAGTTCTAGTTTACTGAACTACATATTCAAATTGTTTATTTCTATTAGTTGTATTAACAAAACTTGCTCCACTTCTTTTGCAAGATGTTTAATTCCTCTGAATATCACCTTTAAAGGGCCTGACTTGATTTCTGTAAAAGTAAATCACAAGTGTCTCTAGTCTATGGGTTCTTTATGAGTTTCAGTTCAGTGTAAGCCAGCACAGTGCCTTTCCCATGCATTTTTCATTGGAGAATTTGTAGCACTAACTTTAAAACATTCCACAAAGTATCCTTTCCTTCTCTAGGCTTTTGGTAGAATGTCAAACTAATAATGGCATGTGGTATTCCTTAGCATAACCTGCCAAAATGTGATAATTTCCTTGGAAGAAAAGCCATGGGCTGCAATCACACGTCTAAGTTGACAGACATCCAAGTGGATCCTATATAAAAAGAAAAGGTTTGTGTCTTCTGGAATATGAATGTTCACTTTCAATAAATTCAAGCAGATTCCAACATAAACATCTTCAAACTTGATGGGTTTTACATGACTCATTATTTCATAGATTCTTGGCACCAAATCTCTGGACATTATATAACCCAAACCACTGCAGTAGGGAGGAAACACCTTGAAGGGATACTCCTGGTATGAAATATGGGATTTCTGGTAAAATCCTCTATAGGAATAATTATCAATTAGAGGATAACCTGTGAAAAACTTCTCTGAGTGGTTTAAATTTAAAAGATACTTGACTAAATTGCCAGTATTGATGAAAACATCAGTGTCTGTCTTCATGATGTATTTGGCATTCGGGCAAAATTCAGTTACCCACCTGAAGGCCATAATTGTTTTCAAAGTCAGATTATTATATGTATCTACAAAATCTTGCCGAATTATGTCACCATAAAGAAGGTGTTCATCTGCTAAGGACAATGCTAACACTTTGTCTTCCCTTTCAGCCTCTTGGCCTAATAAGAAAAATGTAAGAACTTCATATCCCCACCAAGATTTTTTTTCACCCCAAGTAACTCTAATGGCCTGTCTGGCTTTCACATCCGAGGGGTGTGAAGTCACCAGGATGACAAGAAATGGGTTTTGATGAGAACAATTTGAATGCTCTCTAAGTGTGAAATGGAAGTCTTGTCTGTAAACTGGCTCATACTCATAGAAGTACATCCAGTTTACACGTTCTATCACATTGTAGTGGGGTAGGCTGAGGTACCACATCACAAGGAAACTGAGGAGGGACAGCAGCACGAGGCTCCATTTGAGGGATCTCAGTGACATCCTACTCAGAAGGGTGGTCAAGAGAGCCAGGGCCATCCACAGCAGCTCAGAAGCACATGAGCCTCAGGTTCTGGAAGATTTATCAAAGACCTGATTAGTAGTTCATCACTTAAAACACACTAAAAAAATAATATCTAAATGATAATCAAGAAAAAAGTAGAGAACAGAGATCTAAGGCAAACCCAAAAATCCTGACCTAAATCTACTTACCTACATTTAACCAAATAGTTAGCAACAACCAAAAATATCTGGCTTTTTACATCAAAATCAAGGTTAAAAACATGCTATGTATTTTGGAAAGTTAAGAGTTTTTATTCAACATAAATAACTATTGAAATATGGTTTTGTGCTAGAGCTTAGAGGGACAAAGGAGATGAATAATGGAGGTGGAGGGGGGGAGAGGGAAGGGTTGTTGTTGTACAAATAAATCCACAAAAAAAAAAAAGTATCTTTTCCTTAGCACTATGAAAAAGGGTTCAATGCAAGAAAATGTCCAAAATGTCCAGCTATGTGATCTGCTATGGATTCTAGCAGGTCTGGAATAAAAACAAAACAAAACAAAACAAACAACAACAAAAACAACCCAGTAGCTACAATTATCATGGTTACCTATGGATGTGGGAAAAGAAGATGGAGACTATTCACCTAGGCCGAGTCCTCTAGACAAATAAGATAACCATCTCTAGAATCTTAAATGTTCAGATGGTGGAATAACTTTTACTCAACCAAAATACCAACCTAATACCCCTTTAAAGATTTATTTATTTATGCATACAAGAACTGGGGTCCAGGCCAGAGGTACAGAGGGGTGAGAGGATTCACCAGAGACAGAGTGGGGAACAGTACAGGTGTATCCACTGAAATATACTGCTGAGGGGAGCAGCAGGAGAGACAGGAGAAGTCTGCTGTACTATGTGGGCAGCTCCCTGGCTGGGGATCAAACTCATTCTGTAGTGGCTGCGGATAGCTTCATAGGTTGAGTCTGAACCCCCTGTGCCACCAGTGAGGTCCCCTAATGCCCCTTTAACATCACTGACTGGAACTCAAAGGCTCAGTCTGGACAGTAGGTTTTTTAAAGTCCTGCTGATAGTACTCAGTTTCCACATATTTCCTATTCCAATATATTCAGAAATCATGTACCAGATCACTATCATGGCATGGAATCTCCTAGAACTTTTGCCTTTACACAAAACCTCCTCCATGTGAGATAATAAAACAGATGTAGGTGACACAGAACATTCAGACTAACAAGTGACAGACAGATTTTCAGCCCTACTCCAGATTCCATGGATGAGACTGGTTTATAATTTAGGATCCAATAGGGCTTTTTTGGCATCATGACCATAGGTCTCAATTACGAAACATCTTCAACATCCACAGAATACACCAGGCACTTAGGAGAGCAACAGAAGCAAGAGATGGAAGGAGGAGAAAATTCCAAGGCAACATGTAAACATGGCACTGCAATGTAGTAAGGCTGTTTATATCAAATACTCATGGGCCTCAAACTCAGGGACAGATCTACAGTATGGGGGTAAGCTGAAGAGGCTTCTGATGATGTCTATTAACCACAGTAATCTATGGGATGGGTTCCGAGGAATCTAAAATTGCTTGTACATTAATATGATATGGTAAGGCTGGTCTACCAAGGGGTCTATCTTGGGTCAATCTTAAGTTTTTGGACACATAGCTTGTATCTTTTAATACATGTGAATATAGCAGGAACTCAAGATTCCTTGTATTTCCCATATAGCCATCTCTCTCCAACATTCTAATGCTTTCTCTGTTTTAAGTCACACAATGCAGTGGAATGTTTTAGCAAACTTGCTCTAGTTTAGTTTCATGCATTCGTGTCTTGCCTCTCTACTTATATTCTATGACTTCAATGACAAAGAACATTTTTTTTTTCATAATAGTCAAAAGTGCAAGACAGAGGCTTACAACAGGAGCTCAATAAACATTGACTTATTCAATTGGTCAATATGTGGTTTCATTTGTATAAGTATAAAATAAGTATTTGTCCATTCTACCTCTGTTCTTCCTCTTTCATCTTACTAGCCATAAACAAACAGGTCCTGTGAAAACCTGGACCAGAATAATCTATAATGAAGATTATGAAGCTATTAACACCTTAAATTTTGTCTACTAGACACTGCACAACTCTAGATGGATAAGACATTGACAACTCTATACTATAACAGTTATCAGATGTCAGGTAAACAAGTAAACACATTAGTAAGTTTCATGCATTATTCTATTAAGTAATCGCATTATAAAGAATTTGGGACAAATGGAGGAAAAGAGTCCTGAGTAAGGGGTACCATTGAGAATTGTATACAGGCAACGGAGACCCTGCAAAACTTCAATAATGGAAATAAAATAGCAAATATTATTATAAAAGCTGTGTTTTCTACAAGTCATATGTGTTCTACAAGCCATTATGACACCTATTCATGGGCCTACAAAGAACATAAAGCAGCAAATAACTGCCTTTTTCAGGTTCTGATTTATATTTTTAATTCTTATTTTATATATTTTTACATCATTTCTCATTTTTGTACAATGTATAATTATAATCTCAGTTATAGTCCTCGTGGAATTCCCACCACCCATTCACCTGTGAATTATCACCATGGTCCCTTGTGCTCTTCCCATCCTTGTTTTGATCCTACACCCTTCTTCCCCTTTGCAGGATTTCTCTGGTTTATAGTTGCTTATTGATTTTTATTTTTTACTTTATTATGTTTACTTTTTTTCTTGATCCCTTATTTGGATCCTCTACATTCCTCCTATAAGTGAGACCATCTGATATTTTTCTTTTCCTTTCTGGCTTATTTCACTGAGCATGATCCCTTCTAGCTCCATTCATGTTGCTGCAAATGGCATGTGTTTATCTTTTTGATTGCTGAGTAATATTCCATTCGATATATATATACCACATCTTCTTGATCCAGTCATCTATTTTTGGGCATTTGGGTTGTTTCCATAACTTACCTATTGTAAATAGTGCTGCAATAAAAATAGGGGTGCAGGTGACCTTTTGAATTAATGTTTTTGTGTTCTTTGGGTAGATTCCTAGGAGTGGAATTGCTGGATCATATGGAAGCTCCATTTTTTAGCAGACTGAGGAGTCTCCATACAGCTCTCCATAGTGGTTGGACCAGTTTGCACTCCCACCAGCAGGGCAGGAGAGTTCCTTTTTCTCCACATCCTCGCCAACATTTGTTGTTGCTAGGTTTCTCAGTATGTGCCATTCTCACTGGTGTAAGATAGTATCTCATTGTGGTTTTGATTTGCATTTCCCTTATTACAAGTGATATTGAACATTTTTTCATATGCCTGTTGGCCATTTGCACTTCCTCTTTGGAGAAGTTTCTTTTTAGCTCTTCTGCCCATTTTTTGGCTGGGTTATTTTCTTTGTTTTTGTTGAATCTCATCAGTTCTTTTATAGATTTTTGTGATCAGTCCCTTATCAATAGTATTGTGTACAAAATTTTTTCCCAGTCAGTGAGGTGTTTCTTCGTTTTGGCTAATGACTCTTTTGCTGTACAGAAGCTCTTTAATTCGATGTTCCCAGCTATTTATCCTTTCTTCACTATCTTTGCTTTGGGTGATGTGTCTTTAAAGATGTTACTGAGGTGTATGTCATGTAGTTTTTTGACTTTATTTCCTTCTATATATGTTATGGTTTCAGTTCTTATGATCTTGTTCTTTAATCCATTTTGAGTTGGTTTTTGTGCATGGTGTGAGGTAGCAGTCAAGCTTCATTCTTTTGCATGTAGTGACCCAGTTTTCCCAGCACCATTTATTGAACAAATTTTCTTTGCTCCATTGCATATTCTTTGCTCCTTTGTCAAAGATTAGTTGACAGTAAATCTGTGGATTTATTTCTGGGTTTTCTAATCAGTTCCATTGGTTTGTGTGTCTCTTCTTGTGCCAATACCATGCAATTTTGATTATATGGCTTTGTAGTATAGTTTGAAGCCTGAGAGTGTGATATGTCCATTCCTTTCCTTTTTTTATCAGGAGAACTTTGGCTAGTTGCGGTTTTTGGTAGCTCCATATGAATTTCATCAATATTTGCTCTATTTCTTTGAAGAATGACATTGAAATTTTGATTGGAATAGCATTGAATCTGTATATTGCTTTTGGTAGGATGGCCATTTTGATAATGTTAATTCTTCTAATCCATGATCAGGGGATGTCTTTCCATTTCTTTGTGTCTTCTCTTATTTCTTTTAACATTGTCTTTTATAGTATTCTTTCTATAGGTTCTATACCTCTTTTGTTAGGTTTATTCCCAAGCAGTTGATTTTTTTTTTGTTTCAATAATAAAAAGATGGTTTTCTTGATTTCTTCTTCAGATTTATTGTTTGTATATAGGAAAGCTACTGACTTGTGTGCTGATTTTGTATCCTGCTACTTCACTAACCTGGTTGATTAATTTGCTCAGTTTTTCTGTGGCCTTTGTGGGTTCTATATGTTTATTATCATATCATCTGCAAATAGTGGTAGTTTTACTTCTTCTTTCCCTATTTGGATTCCTTGTATGTCTTTCTCTTGTGTTATTGCTGTGGCTAGGACGTCCAGTATTACATTGAAAAGCAGCGGTGAGTGGACCTCTTTCTCTTGTTCCAGATCTTAAAGGAAATGCTTTCAACTTTTCACCATTGAGAATATTAGCTATGAGCTTGTCATAAATGGCCTTTATGATGTTGAGGTATGTTCCTTGTATCCTGAGAATTTTGAGGGCCTCTATCATAAATGGATGTTGAACTTTGTTAAAATCTTTCTCAACATCTATTGATGTTATCATATGTTTTTTATATTTCTTTTTGTTGATGTGTTAGATTACACTGATTGATTTTTGGATGTTTTGTGTCCCTGGAATTAAAAAAAAAAAACATTCTTGTGTCCCTGGAAAAATTCCTACTTGGTTGTGTGAATTATCTTATGGATGCACTGTTGGATTCTGCTAGCTAAGATTTTACTGAGGATTTTTGCATCAGTGTTAATTAGAGAAATTGGCTTGTAGTTTTCTTTTTTTGTGCTGTCCTTGTTTGGTTTTGG